CAAGTATAAAATTCAGTGTGTTTTTAGTATAGTCACAAAATTGTGTACCTATCACCATTATCACAAAAGGAGAGGAGACCTCATACCTATTAGCAGTCACTCCCCATTCCTTATTCACCTGTCCCTGGAAGCCACTAAGCTGCTTTCTGTCTCTATGGATTTTTCCTGTTCTAGACATTTTGTATATTTTTGTGTCATGGTTTGGATCAAAAATATCCCCCTAAATGTTCGTGTTTTCAGAGGTGGAACTTTCAGAAAGTGATTAGATCACAGGAGTAACTAACCTTATCTGTTGACCAGTTCATATCTGAATGAGCTACTAGGAGGTGGGGACCCAGTTAGAGGAAATGGGTCATTGGAGGAGAGCTTTTGCAGGGTGTATCCTATTCCCAGCCCCTTCCTCTCTCTCTGGCTCTTCCTAACTCTCTATCCCATGGCTATAATGAGGTAAGAAACTTTCTTCTACTACACCCTTCTAGCACAATGTTTCTGTCTTGGATCCAGCTTACTATGGACTGAAACCATGAGGCAAAATAGACCTCTCCTCCTTTAAGTTGTGTATGTGTGGTATTTTGTCCCAGCAATGGAAATGTATCTAAGATTTTCTCTACATATCTAGATCCTATTCATCTTCCTTAAGGCCGTGTTTGTTTGTTTGTTTGTTCACTTTTTTGTTCATTTTGTTGAGATCACAACACTCCTACTCTATTAGACACTGCTAGGCTGTAAGTACACAAAGATAAATGATGTTTTGCCTTTAGAGAACTCCCCACTTACTGAAGGAGACAGACAACATAGTGTTAGAAATACTATTATGGTGTAATGAACAATAGAGGAGCAAAGAAGTCTGAGAAAGAAATTGTGGCAGGTCAGGAAAGAAGCTTTGCTGAGAAGGTCACAGTTGCCTGGATATTGAGTCATTTTTTCATTCCTTAATTTATTCAGAAAACTTGTGTTGTGACCCTATTATGTGCCAGGCATAGTGTTGAACTCTAAGGGTATAAATATAAACAAAAAAAATCCTTGCACCCTAAAGAACTCAATAGTTTGGAGAAGATAAATGTATGACATTTCAAAACAATATGATATGTCATATTTGAGGGATGTAAAGCTTGCTATGGGGACACACAATAAATCTGCTTGTGAATTTGAAGAAAAAGTAGTTTACCAAGTGAACAAGGATAGAGAGTGGTATTTAAGGCAAAGACTAGACTCCCTCTGAGTGTGAGCTAACTTGTCACTCATGTCTTACTGAACCAGAGAGCATTTAATGATTTTTGTCACTCTGACAAGCCCTTAGTCACATATGTGGTAGTCATCTTTATTTCAATGCTGGAGGTGCAACTCACTCGTGTTAGGCAAGCATTCTACCACTGAGCTACATCCCTATCCCCTGTGAGGTCATCTTTAAATGTGAAAGCCTTGTCTTTCCATAGGCATTGTGTATCCTTTGGGATAAGAGTGCTTTGTCTTATCCTTCTTGGATGCCTTCATTATCATAGTGTTTAATGCTTAGTAATTTTTTGTGAGTCGAAATGAATGAATGACAGCTGAAAAAATATCCTAAAGACTCAGTAAGCTGCTACCCAGGTTTCCTATCACACCCACTTCAGGAGCCTGAAACCTATCTTGAAGATGAATAGCTTTAACACCAATGCTTCTCTTTGTGCTCCATCTCCCATATAAGAACTGCGACAGTCACTCCTTACACTAATTCCCTTCATTATTGCAAAGTACAATGAAGAAACTCATATAAGCTCAGGATTAGTTATGTTAAAGACCACTGATAAGTGACCATCTTTAAAATTCTGTCCTTTGTTTATAATTTGGTAGATATTGTCAACACTAAAGATTAATGTAATTTTTATTCCAAGAATAGAAATCGATTCTGGTCAAGAAAAGCAAGAGATTCAATAAAACTGCTTCTTGACAATCTTTGAAGAGTAGAGGAAGGGACTGGGGAGATAACTGACTGAGGATGACATTTAGGGAAGCCCCAACAAGATACAAGTTTTTCTCCTGCTTCTGAGAGAGCAGGAATCTACCTCTAATTCTTTCTTTCAGTCATAGAGGGCCTCATTGCTTTTTCCATTTATATGTCACTTCATGGGATATTGCTATGCGACATTCCACAGCTGACAAACCTTCAAGGTGCTCTCCTCCTCTCCGGGGCAGCATTCCTTAGTGCTAGCAGAGCACCTGTTATTGAGTAATAATGAGAAACAATTCTGGTACAGGGAGTGCTACAATGATTTATGACAGTAATAATTATAAAACATCTACTGTTCCTGGATTTCAGGAAGGCTACCCAGAAATGGAGATTCTCTGGCTGATGATCAAGTCCTGGAATACTGGAATCTTTATGTATAGCAGAAGCAAATACGTATCTGCTGAAAAATGGTGTGGCCTGGCATTGCATTTCCTTGAACACCTTGGCTCCCTCAAGAGAAGCTATGAAACTCAGGTGAGTAGGGAGAAAACAAGGGGTGGGTGGTATGGCTTAGGGGTCAGAGAGGTTGTAGTTGGGCACTCCATAAGGACTCAGCCTGACTTTCCATGGCTAGTCAGGGATCCTCATGATTGTTCCTATCAGTGGTTCCATATAAATCCAAAAGTTAGGGAGGAGGATCATCATGCGTTTGAGGCAAGCCTAGGCTACATGTCAGTGCAAGGCTCACCTAAACTACACAGTGAAGCCCTATGTCAAAAAAGAAAATAAAAATAACTAGGGGACTATGCATAGTAATTCCTTAGAGTGAAAGCCAGGAAGGATGGAGAACAGTGGAGAACTTAGAGATAGCAACTGGAATCTAAATACAAGGACTTCCAAAAGTTAAGCTCTGGAAAAATGCATCATCATCATTGCCAGTGCATGAGGGGAAGGACTGTCCTCTGCTCAATGCAGTAGCTAAATAGGCATTTTCTCCAGGAACTATTCTCAGTTTCAAGCATCTGGGCCATTAGCTGAAAAGGAGAGGTTTGGTGGACAAAAAGAACCTTGTTACCAAATAAGATAAAAGGATCTTTTCTGTTTTAAGTACCTCTTCCTTTCAAGAGCTGTCTGTCCCTAATTAAGAAGGCCTAGTGAGATGGGATTCATCTTCTTCAAAATAGGAAGGACTATGTTTTCTCCACAATGGCTCCTCAGATTGCAGAACATAAGTGTTAGGCTCTCATGGCATCATCATGGCTCTTGGAAGCTTTCCTATATTTTTTTTCCTCTCAAGAAATCTAATTTTCTGTTTTCTTTCCCAGATGAATGTTTTGTATAGTGAGCTCATGAAAGCATTATATTACAAAAGGGCTCACTTTTAAATGAAGAATGAGAAGCTACTGGAGCAAGGTATGTGAGTAGGCAGGTGCCCAGCAACTTAAAGCAGATACATCATCCTGAAGTGCTGAATACTTCAATGTTTGCCAAACGTTCTCTTGAGCTTTTGTTTCTGTTTCCTTAGGACCTAATTTCATTGTTGTAAAATGAAGTTTTCTTAAATAAAAGTATGTTGATATTTGCCTCAGTGACTAGCTCATTGCTAGGGAACAAATGAATTTTCCAGACTGCTAACTATTGTATCAAAATAATCTATTTAAAAGCCAGATACTCTACTTTATGCCCCATATGGATAAAAGGGACTGTTCATCCCCATCTAACACAGGTAGTATTTGATTCCCAATGCCTGAAGGTAACAGTAAATCATAATCTTTACTGAATGGACCTCAGTGGTCATTGGGCCTAGCATTTATCTAATTCACGAAATCTCTGTCTGACATCCTTGAGAAATGGTTGGCCAATCTCTGTTAGAACATATCCTATGACAGGGAACTGCCAGGATAGTCCAATCCTTCTATTTTTTCCTCTCTCTCTCTCTCTCTCTCTCTCTCTGTCATTGGCAAAAAGCCTTTCTTCATACTAAACAGAATCTGTCTCCCTATAAGGAGTCAGCTAACTCTGTCTGAGACACCCTTTGGAGATTGAAGGCAGAAGTCATTCCTTCTGTATAGACCACGCCTTTTCTCCTTCAGATTAAATGTCTTCACTCGCTTTAGCTGTTCCTCATCTTCACCTGATCTGATCACCTCACCTTCCAAGAGCAGAGTCCCCCATTGCAGTGAGGTCTGACCCTTATAGAGTTCAGCAGCCTTGTTCTGCCTAGACTAACATTAGTGTACTATAAGACAATGCTGACTTTTCTCCCTCAGCTCCCACCCCCAGTACTAGAGCTTGAATCTAGGGGGCTTATGCATGCTAGGCAAGTGTTTTTCCACTGAGCTACATTCCCAGACCTTTTTACTTTTATTTTATTTTGTGACAGAATCCTGCTAAATTGCCCAGGCTGGCTTGAAATGTGTGACCAAATTTGTGATCACATTTGCCTGAACCTCCTAAGTAACCAGAATTAAAGCCATGTGCCACCATGCCCTGCTCTGTTAACATTTTTTGGCTTTTGATTTTGACATACTTTCAGGGTTGGGTATTGGGTTACTTGCAAAGCATTTGCCTAGCATGTGCAAGGCCCCAGTACGCCCCCCACACACTATATACTCTTCACCCGGCTTCCTTATTTGTTAACATTTTACCACTTTCATTCTCCTGTTTCTTTTCTGAATCAATTTTGAGCCCTTCAACTTCCACCGTGGCTTTAGATAAAGATTTGGTTATTATTAGCTAATTAATAGAAAAATGCTTTCAACCTAAGATAAAGTGGGTCATTTGTGTTTGAAAAATATTTCACTTAGTCATGGCTAACAGTCTATGACTATTTTGAGGCTTAATAACTCTGGGGTTCTTCCTGTTCAAGATGAGGAACTCGATCAGCTGTTGCATCCACAGCAGAACTAAGAAGAGACCCACATTAGCTCCTGGCAGAGAGATGGCCCTATTCAGTGGGTGCAGCATGGTAGGTGTCAAACCTGCCTCCCTTTGCCGTCTCCAAGCTGTTCAGTTGGCCTCTTATACTGGGGCTGAGATTAATTTGCAAGCATTTGTCCTGTTACCCTTTAACACCTCAGTGTGTGTTTTATAAAAGCAAGGATATTCTACTAGGTAACCAAAGGACAACCATCACAATTAGGAAATTAAAAGTGATACAGTTCTAGCATCTACTCCACAGATCTTATTCATATTTTCTTGATTATCCCAATAAAGTCCTTCAAAAATTCAAGATCACAAATTGCACTTAGTTATCACATCTCTTTTATCTCCTGTAAATGGTCTTGACATCTTTTGAGGCGTACAGGGTAATTACTTTGCAGCATGAGCCTTAATTTAGGTGGGTCTGCTACTTCCTAATGGTTAGATTCAGTCTGTGCCCTCTGAGCCAACACATTGCCATGGTGATGTGTACTTGCACTATCGCACCAGTAGTCACACAGTGACAATGTGCCCTATTACTGGTTAAATTGAAGATGGCGCCTGCCAGGTTTTTCCAGAGTAGTTAGTTCATAGATATTTTGTACTTAGTAATTATGAAGTACTTCATAGGAGATGCTTTGAGATCACATAAATACTCCATTTCTCATTGAACTAGTTTTAGCATCCATTGGTAATTCTTGCCTGCATCCATTTTCACTGTGATGACTGCTAAATTTTTCTGCTTCCATCATTCCCTCTTTATTAATTGGGCTTGGTAAGTTAAAGCTTTTTCTTTTCCCCAACTCTCTCTCTCTCTCTCTCGCCGGAGATGGAACCCAAGGCCTTATACATGCTAAGCAAGTGCTCCATTATGGATCTACATTCCCAGCCCACTCCCTTTTATTTATTAATGCTTTTTTAGTTCTGTATACACTAATGGATTCCTGTTTTATTCAATGGGTTATAATTTACTATTGTCATTATTTATTTTGCTTTCCAAAACTACCTTCTGTACCCTTTTGGCTTATCCCCATCATCTATGAACACATCCTTGCTTTGTAGCACAATAAGATGCTCCAGGCTTATCATGTACTTTACTCGTACAGCCTTGGAATCAGTCATTTCTCTAGGGAGCCCTGGTTCCTTTTTTTCCACAGTACTGGGAATTGAACCCAGGGCCTTCACACAAAGCATGGGCCACCACACCCAATTGTCTGGTACCTTTTAATGGAGCTCGTGCCAAAGATCTGGGTCCTAAGTGTAGTCATTGTTATTGAGGTGCAGTTGTTTCTAGGTCTTCTCAGTGGACAGAGCGAGGAAATAGATGGGTGTATAAGGTATGATCAAAATATACAGTGAAAGTTTAAATTTTAAAAATTATTAATGAAACATTGCCATTAATCTCCCAAATGCTCCCTCTTACTTCAAACACACTTGTCTCGTCATTTGTGCCACTTTCTGAAGTAGTTCTGGGCATTTCCTTTCATGGGTATTTTTATAATATATGATCAAAAATATAGTGAATACCAAGGAAACATGGCATCCAATGGAAAAGTCAGGCTCTTAAAAATATTAGTGTTAACCAGGTGTGGTGGCGCACGCCTGTAATCCCAGCACTCAGGAGGCTGAGGAAGGAGGATCGCTGTGAGTTCGAGACCAGCCTGGGCTACATAGTGAGTTCCAGGTCAGTCTCAACTACCTAGTGAGACCCTGTCTCAAAAAACAAACAAACAAAAAATATTAGTGTTGGGCTGGGGATTTAGCTCAGTGGTTCCACTGCGTGATTCCCAAGTGCAAAGTCCCGAGTTCCATCCCCAATACCAAACATATATTAGTGTTATCTGACTTACTCACTGGATCTGGCCCCATGTGACTTTTGGCTCTTCCCCCAAAGTTATGAAAGGTAAATATTTTGAATCAAGTCAGGAAACGACAACATTAAAGACACAACACATGAAAGAAGACTTCCAGAACTACTTCAGAAAGTGTCAAGAATGGTGGGATAAGTGTGTCTGAAGCATGGTAGAGTGTTTTGAGGGGCATTAATGGCAATGTCTTACTATAACAAATCGTTAAACATTCACTATATATTGATCACACCACATATGTATGTACAATGTACACACAAATGTACATGCTTATCAAAACACACACAACGAGTCCATACAATCACACTGCTACTTCCATTTTCAATCCAACACCATAAGTGGGTTATGCTACCTTTCCCTCCTTTCCATATTTGCAACTATTTCATCCAATCAGATGCCTAGCTCTCATTAAGCTCAACTGTTCATGTGTTCATTCTCTCTTGTATGACCCTAGACTCCCAGTCATGTGTCCAACTCCTCAACTCTAACCCCACTATCCTGTCCAAGAGGGTCCCGGGGTAGGCCAACATTTCTGCACAGCACCCTGTCCAGAGAGCAAGAGAACTGAGTCTGTAGCTGAGCCCCAATCCCAGCCCTCATTCTTGCCCCAGCCTCTGTTGATAGGAAGGGAAAGAGACCACCGTAGCACCTAAGCAGACCCTTCGTATGGCTGCCTCACTGGACTTTCTCTCTACCTCCCCTGACTCCACCTTAGTTTCCTCCTGCTTTGATAAGTCAGCTCTGGGTCAGCTCCTCAGAGACAGCTTCCCTCTCTGGCTTGACCAGTTTCTCTTGTTATATGCTTGTTTGCATCTTCAGTTTGTGGATATACATTTGTTTGTGGAATGCTTTTATTAATGTCTTCTTTCTCCAATAGTCTTTTAGCTCTAGGAGGGCAGAATGGGATGTTTTCCTCGCTATCCTATATCCCTATATCCTATATCCTATATAGTACCTGGCACTTTCAGTAAATATTTGTTGAAGAAATAAATACAAACATCTAAGTGTTTTCCCCCCATATATTTCCATTAATTAATGTGTCCTCTTGTACTTCCAGTTTTTTATATCTATTTAAATTTTTCAGAGGCTGGGCACCTCAAAATAAACACATACATTCATACACACATCAGTATTACATTGTTCTTGCCAGTGATTCTTTGAGGATACAGAGTCTGTCCTTATTATGCTATCCTTTTCAGGGTGACATTGTATCCATGGTTGGTTAGTATGCTGCTGGTTCCTTTAACTAAACAAATGATAAAAGAATACTGAGCAGCAGAGGGCGGAGACAGAGCTTGGTGGCATACTTTTCGGTTTTACCTCCAGGTTCATTCATGCAGGCAAAAACACTTCCTGAACTCTTTCTACTACGGACCGGGCACTGCCATGGATACTATGGATAAAAGAGTAAGGAATAAGGACACTGTCTCCCAATCAATGAGCTTAAATTTTAGTGGAGGCAGCAGATCACAAACTAGTATATAAATAAGATGAACATTCATCCACCATTAGCAAACTTGAGGTTGATCACTTGCCCAAGCAATAACTGTACTATTTACATTTTTCCAACTTTTCTACAAGGACATCATAAATGTTTTGTCAGTTTAAGGACCCAGGTTTGTTGCTGCAGCACCACTACTTAACTAACTAAGCTAATTTCAGAAAAGAAATGAGCTGAGTTTGAGTAGAGCTATTGTAATGCAGTTTTCTATGACTACGCGT